AGATGGGATTATGGTGTGGACATACTCCCTGGGGGATGATTTCTCACTTTCTGTCCCTGTCTCTCCAGTAAGTACATTCTCCCTATAGCAAAAAACTCAAAAAAAAAAAAAAAATCTTGATTGTATTATAAATGTTATGATGAGGAAAAATTGCTCAGAGTCTGAGCTTTTGAAACTTTTGGAATTTAGGGGCCAGCAGTTGGTGTAATGGCTATGTCACTGAACTCCCATGTAGTCAAGTGCGGTTCGAGGTCCTGGCTCCGGTGGCTTAAACTCAATGCCGGGCGCGTGTGCGTGTGTGCCCAAGATCCGGAGAGGAGAATGGAGGAGAAGGGACTGCGGTGTGGCCATCCCCTCAGGGGGTGATTTCTTGCTTTCTGTCTCTCTTTCTGGCATGCACACACCCTATAGCAAAAAGCAAACAAACAAAAACCTTTTGGAATTTGTAACTGCTTTCCTCACATAGAAAGGATTTTTTTTTTTTTGAGAGGTTTTTGCTCTAGGGCGCGTGCACTCGCCAGACAGAGAAACAGAGAGATAGAAAGTGAGAGATCAGCCCCCGGGAGGATGGCCACGCTGCAATCCCTTCTCCTCCATTCTCCTCTCAAGATCTTGGGCTTGCACGCACACGTGCCCGGCGTGAGTTTTAAGCCACCGGGTCCAGGACGCGAACGGCGGTCGACTACATGAGAGTCCAACAACATAGCCATTACACTAACTGCTGGTCCCCATAGAAAGGATTTTGTAATGAAATTTTTAATGGACATGCTGTTAAAACTTATGATGTACAACACAGTTTTTCATAGCTTCGATGCAATTCCTCTCCTGCCTTCATCTTCCAGAAATATGTTAAGAGCTAATTCGGTAGAAGTTTTGAGATGTTGGAAAGAAAACAGCAATTGTGTTCATAGTGCGTGGATGTGTGGGGCAAACACACTGACATTGACGCCCCAAGTTATTCTTAGCAAACATAATCTTTTATTAAAGTATTAACTGAGAAGGAGCACAGGGCTTTCTGGTAACCTTTAGGAGTCCTGCATATGTGAATGGTTAGCAAAAATTTTGCTAACTTAAGAGAACTTGATAGTAGGGACCAGCAGATGGCATAATGGTTATGTCACTGGACCCCCATCAAGTTGACCATGGTTCGAGTTATTGATTTCTCATTTATTGCATGACATTTCTCTGAAAAATCTAGTGTTTTCATTTCACTGAAATTTATTCATGTGCACCAATTTGGTGTTTAATTCCAGATTTCACTGACATAGTGATGTTAGTAACAGAAGGAATAGGTATCAGGTGAAAGAAGAGGCTGAAGATCTGGTGAGGGTAGAGAAAAAGTCTGGTTGGTGTAGACGTTTTTCAGACATACCCCTCCATTCAACATTGGCATGTATGCTTTGATTCTTATTGTATGTATTTCTTGGAAATCTGCAGGTTTTCCTCTCTGCAGAAGTAAATAATGTATTTATTTTGTTTTAGATCTGTTTTATTTTTCTGGTTTATTTTGTATTTGGGGGAGGGCTGGTGAAAGACTTTTTTTTTTTAACAAGAGTAGAAATATATTCTTCTTTTTCTTCTAAAATTGAGATTATAAAATATCTAAGAAATAGTTTTAAGTGCAGTCAGACAGGAGCCAGCAGGTGGCATAGTGACTAAGGCACTGGACTCCCACATGTCCAACTGTGGTTAAAGTCCTGGACCCGGCAGTTTGAAAATTACACCATGTCCATCCCCCCGGGAGGTGATTTCCTTCTCACTCTCTCTAGCAAGCATATGTATTGTATGGCAAAAATCTTAAAAAGGAAAAAAAAAAAAAAAAAAAAAAAGAGCAGTCAGACACTTCCTGGCTATATAATGGTCAGTAAAAGGAGAGGAACATAGAGACAACAGGGGAGGGGGATGGAAAGTAACAGCCACTGCTCTGTTGAGTGCTTACTCTACCTTAGGTATTATCCTTTCCCTGTCTTACTTTATGCACTGTTGCACAGCACCTTGTGGAATAGATAGCAGTATCCCTCTTTTACAGTGAAAGAAACTGAGACAGTGAATTCTGTTCAAGGATTTGAACCCAAACAATCAGGTAATAGCGCCCATACTACCTTAAAATGTTGCTTCACCACAGAATTGAGAAAATCAAGACAGTGCTCTAGACACACAACTACGTGGACAGGAGAAAAACAGAGATTTGTGTAGTAACAACCCCATCTTGTGGTGTGTTCTTATATTTTTAAGTATTTGAAGTCAAAATGTAACAGCCCTAATCTAGCTCTATACTAAAGGCTCGAATAAAATTCAGGCAAGAAGTGGCAGTTTTCTACTCTTTAGTAATCGTTTTTTCACTTATTTAATCCTTATGGCAGCCTTTGGAGATAAATTATTACTGCCCTGTGGAATGAGGAAATGGGTTAAATAGTTAGCCCAGCATCCTACTGCTAGTAAGGATTCTGAGACTTGAACCCAGGCACTCTAGCCCCATGATCTGCATTATGAACCATCATGTTTTGCTTACTTTTAGCATAAGATTTGTGAAAAACACATATTTAAGTAAAAGATGAATGTAAATCAGTTTTACCAGAACACTAATGGGTGGTCATGAACCTCCACTTTCTTTCAGTTGTAATCTAAAGTGCTAACGCAAGGAAGTGTTTTATTTGTAACTGCCACTGCAGCACAAGGGCATTTCATAGGTTTGACTCCTATGTTCAGATCAGTGCTTTTTTTTTTTAACTAGTTTTTTTTTTTAATTATTTTATTTAACTTTATTTATCTGTGTATTTATTTTTATTTGACCAGAGAGGGATAGAGTGAGTGAGAGCAAGAGAGAGAGCAAGAAAGCACCAGGTCTGGGACTCGAACCGCAGTCAGCCATGTAGGAGTCCAGTGCCCTTAACCACACCACCTGCCAGTCCCTAGTGCTTTTTGTAATATGTTCCCTCCCACAGCCATCCCAAGAATTGTAACTTGTAGATAGTACTTCATTTTAACATCTTATAGGTTCAGCTCAAGAATGTTTAATTTTACAGAGGTTTTGGAGAGTTTTTGAAAGATTGATAGAAAATTTGAAACTTTACAACACAATGAAAGCTTTTGAAATTGAGAAGTATAGGGGAAAATTTATATGGCAAATTGCTCTTGGAATTCATTTTCCTTACATGTTTTAGCACAGCTTTTAGATTCATGAAGGAAAGATTTGGGACAAGTAGTAATTTTCTATAGGAAAATGTTTAGGTACTTTATGGGATGAACCCTAATTAACATTAAATACACTATATGATTCCATAATCTCTTTCCATTTTTGTTAATATAACATAAATTAAGTTTTAATCTTCGTTTCTGTGTACCAACTTGTGTTTTTGTCACTTCACGTATGTATATTCTTTTCTGGTAAGGACATTGAATTTTCATATGTAATAGTGTTTCATTATACTGTTTAATATGTTATACAGGCAATCGTCGCTTATTAAATACATTTAGATTTTTAAAAATATAACCAGTAAGCATTTGGAAATTTGGGAGCCTTTTGTAAGATTGAGTTTAAAAACGATAGATTAAAAAAGAAAAACCTTTATTTTAAAATGTCAAACTTATAAAACTTGAAAGAACGGTACAAGGAATTCAGAAACCTCATTAACGAGTCACTGATTCTTAACATTTGCCATGTTTACATCATTGTTCCTTCTCTGTATATGTTTTCTCTCTGAACCATTTGCAAGCCAGTTGCTATTATCATGACCCTTGAGCCCTTCATACTTTAGCCTCTGTTTCCTGAGAACAAGGATATTGGCAATACAGATGTGATACTTCCTCTGTTGATGTGGTCATAAAAATAGTGTTACAGAATATGTTTTATGGAAAATACAGAGAGAGGAGAGCACAAAAAAGTCTTGATCTGGCCAGTCACGTGGCATGAAGGCCAAGCAGAAACAGTCAATTACCCATACATCCCATAACTATTTGAGTGCCGAGGCAGTGCACTGGGCTGTAAGGGAACAGAATACACAGCGTCCTTACTAAGTTATAATTTCGTGTACAGTGGGGAGGATAAAGATACAGACAACCAAAACAAGCAGTTTCAGTACAGAGTGGTAAGTGCTAAGATAGGAAAGACAGAAAACCATTCTGGTTAAAAGGTCATTGATGACTTTGTGAATGAATGAATGCATTACAGAATGCATTGTAAGTCAAAGGATGAAGGCTTTGGGGAAGAAAGCTTACAAGATACTACAGGACAAGAAAGTAGCTAGGATGTGGAGGAGAGGTATGCTATAGCATAAATGCAAGAAACCTGTCATGAGGAGAAAACAATAGTTTAGCAAGTGGAAGGCACCCAGAATAATTGAAGGGTTTTCTTGTTCTTCCCAACCCCAGTGGGCCCATCTTAATTACCAGAGACTGAGCTATTGGAAGGAGAAAGAGTGGAATCTAGGGCATACTTAGCTTTGGAGAGGAAAAAAGCCTATTTATTCACACACAGCTAGAGGGAAAAATGAGAATATATAGGTGTAGTGACAGGATACACTTTGGTGAAGAGCCTCATGATAGACAGGATTTTCCTAGTAATGTGAGAAGGGAAGTCACGTGAAGAAGAAGAAGCTCTAAGCTTGAAGAACAGGGAGGATTCGGACAGGCTTCAAGGCAATGACCTAGGGGAGTGAGGGGAGAAGATTGAAAGTACTGCCATACCGTGATCCAAGCCTGATAGAGGTTCGTTAGCAAGAATTCGACAGGACATATCTGGATAGGTCTTTCAGAGAATTCTACTGCCCAGAAATAAAGTGGGGTTAGCCTTCAGTGATCAAGAGTCAGAATCTCCTGGTTCTTACCTTTCTAATTGTTGCATAAAAAAAAGGGTAATTGCATGCAACTTTTCATCGCTGTTTTGTTTCATTACTGTTTTGTTTCATTTCAGTGAACTTTTTTCTCTTCCTGCATGAAAGTGACAGCTGCCCTTTTCACCTCCTTTACCTATCATTTTCTTCCTTCCTGCATTTTCACAGCATGCTATTTCTCTGAGATGTCCCAGCAAGCAGGCCAAGCGTCATATTGACTTCACAGAAGAACAGGCTGAGCTGGCACCTGTAAGTTCTGTAAACATGTCATGGGACTAGTAAAATACAAATAAAGAGGAATGCATTCATTAAAAGTCCAAATGATGGAAACTTGTTATGTAACCTCAAATTTCCTGTAAAATTAAGCCAATTAAGTGAGCATACCCAACTTCATGATATGGTACTGTAGAATATTAATACTCATGGTGAGCTTATTTAGGTGATCAATATCTGATGTAGAGAACTTTTATATTGGAACTCGAAGCCATGTGCTTTCTTTTTTCTTCTAGAGCTAAGGATTTTTTATAAATTTCTTGGGATATTAACAGTTTTAGCTAATCTTCACAATGGAGATAGCAAATGGAATGACTCTTGACTAATAATTAACTGAAAAACCTTTCTTTCTTCAAAAATGTATTTCTGGTCAGTGGTTGACTGATCTGTGTGCTTCACAGCTGCACTGTCCTATATGACACTGTCCTTAATAGCCACTGGTGGTAGTAAGATGTGCTGTAAGGATAAAATACATACTAGATCTTGAAAATTTAGTATGGGAGAAAAAAAGAATGTAAAATACCTTGTTGATATTTTTTGCATTCATTACTTATTGTGATTATAATAATTTGGATATTTTTGTTAAAATGAAAGACATAAACATGTCTCTTTTTCACCTTTTAAAACTAGTATGGCAGCTAGAAAATTTTACATGACATTTGTGGCTTGTGTCAGATTTTCATTGGACAGTACTGTTCAAAAGTCATCTATGAAGCATACAAAATAAAAGAAACCAAAAAAGCCCCTAAATCTCTGAACCCCACCCAACTGAATCAGATTTCCTCTAACTCCTCCTCCCTCTCTCTTTTTCTTCCTATCCTTTAAAAATGCTGAGAACAGGGACCAGCAAATGGCATGGTAATTACGTCACTGGACTCCAGCATGGCCAACCAAGGTTTGAATCCTGGACCCAGTGGCTTATAACGCATCAGACACGTGTGTGTGTGTGCCCAAAATCCTGGGAGGAAAAGGGATAGCAGTATGACCATACCCCCAGAGGGTGATTTCTCACTTTCCTTCTCACTGTGTCTGCCTCCCTCTTTCTCTCCAGCAAGCGCAAGTGCCCTAAGGCAAAAAATCTCTTAAATAAATAAATAAATAAATACTGAAAACACTGTTAGTAACCAAGGAAACTGGTTTCACAAGTACTAATAGGTATGTCCTGCAGAGGGAAAACATTCTGTAACCTGAATGCTAGCGCTCCCTCTTCCAGTGTTCTAAAACATCAGCTCCATTTACTATAATATTTGCATTGCCGTCTGCTACTTCTGCCCTGGCAGCAGTTCTCAGTCCTTTTTGGCCCTAAAACTTTTTTATTAAAAACATTTAACACCATCTTTACTGTCACACATGAATTCACAAATAATGCAATCTATCCACCTATCTATTTCTTTTCTTTTTTTTTTGGAGAGGTTTTTGCAACAGGGCGCGTGTGCTCACCGAAAAGACAGAGACAGAGAGATAGAAAGTGAGAAATCACCCCCCAGGGGGTATGGCCACACTGCAGTCCCTTCTCCTCCATTCTCCTCTCGGGATCTTGGGCACGCACGCACACGTGCCCTGTGTGAGTTTAATCCACAGGGTCCAGGACTGAAACCGCGACATAGGAGTTCAGCGACATAGCCATTATGCTTACTGCTGGTCTCCCCACCTATTTCTTGAAAGGAATGTATTGTCCTGACACTTGTTGTATATGAAGGAGAAATAACCAAAAAGTGATTTATAATAAGTACCTATTTTGTTATACAAAGGCTCAGCCACCACTATTAAAGTACATAATGGGGACCAGCAGTTGGCATAATGGCTATGTCACTGGACTCCCATGTAGTCGACTGTGGTTCGAGTCCTGGACTCGGGGGCTTAAAACTCAATGCCAGGGGTGTGTG